AGTAAGTTTGGCAGAGCTGCTGGTTCTGCGATAGCCCCTTGGGCGAGGGGATGCCGCGGGCTGGAGCAGGGGTGCGGGGGCTGCTGTTGGAACGAGCTTGCGGAGCACATCGCCGCAGCAGGGGATGCGCGTAAGCGGCAAGTCAGGCACTGAAAGTGAGGCGCTGTGATAGTAATGTAGAGGTAACATAGCTTAGCAGGTAATCACACCTGGACTCCTTGTAACTCTCTCCCCTTCTTCGTGGCTCTGGAGCCAGGACACCTAGTTCTTAAACTCTTTTCCCCATTTTATGTCTTACAGCTCATTCCCCTGGTTGGAGTAGTGGCCTTTGCAGCTGGTGGGACGGTCGTTTTTGGTGTCTATTCTCTATTCAGCAAATCCGATGTGATGTAAGCAAAATACTTATTGCTTGGAGTTTACACTTTCTGTGTTCAAGAGGTATTGGACCATCATGTTTTACATCCCCCCCCCCCAAAAAAAAAAAAAATCCATGTGGCTGTTGCAGACTACTAGTAAAGACTAAGATATCTGTAGATTCTAAATACTGAAGTAATTAATTAATTTGGAGCATAGTCCAAATTGTTTCCTAAATTTTGATTTAATAAGTTATATTTTTTATTTTCTTTAGGTGCAATAAGTTTTAGATGTTCTTGGGAAGAATTTAAAATGATCAGATAGATAGATGACATGCAGATATGTTGTAACCCGGCTGTTGACTTATATATAAAGAACCCCGTTTGATAATATGAACTTAGAACAAGTTAATATTGTAATGGCTTGACTAATAACTGGAGCTAAATCCTATATTCTTTAAGCTTAGGGGAATTTTTACTTCAAACAGATTGAAATAGGCGTTTTAGCTGTTGGGGTAAGAATCCCCTTTTTCTTTGTGTCTTTATTCAGTTTTGTTTTTTCAGCTTGCTTCCCATATGATAACACATTATACTTGAACAATGTTGGCATGTTTGGTGCTTTCGAAGCTGCAAATAAAGCAAGCCATCATTGATTCCTACACACAATTGTATTTCAGGGAACTGCTTACTTACAGGAATAGTTCTATTGACAATAGACTGCTCATATGAGAAAAATGTGTGTAATCTCAAACCCTAAAACATTTATCATCTCTTGCTTTATTTTCTTTTAAAGCATTAACAAGAGTGGCAATCCAGAACCGTGGCAAACTATTGATCCTACCAAGCCCCAGAAGGTAATTTGTACAAATAATATAGTCAGTACAAATGGAATAGATTTCCAACACAATGAATAACTTATTTAAATGTGTAAGAACTAGTGAAATATTAATGAGGAAAAAAAATGTGAAGCTGAAATATATATATTTATGGAACTAATTACTTAATTCATTATTTTATGTAAAGTATCTTCCCTGTGTTACTTAATGATAGAGATTCAGCTGTTGCATTCAAGGTCTGATCCTGAATTTATGGCTTACTTCTGGTTGGTGTTGGGGCCCCTCCCCATCTGTTTACTCAATTCCACTGATAACAGTAGAAATTTGTAGTATAGAGGAAATGTTTACCCTTGCCTTGTTTCTGAATTACAAAATTGACTAAGAATGTTTTTGAGTACTGCAGCCTGAAGGAAAAAAATCTTCATTTAGTAGAGCATCTAGGATACAGAAAAATAAAATTATTTGGTGTTATTTATTTAATATCCAAATTATTTTGTTCAATTAATTATTAAATGTCATCAGTTGCTATTTTTGCTTACTTCTGAAAGCAAAAATGTGAAACTACTTAGAAATCCTTCATTGATAAGTTGATGTATGATATGGGGGGGGTGGGAGTGGAATAAATGCTCACTGGGATTTTGCTAATTTCTTTCATATTTTCCTTTGAATTTCTTCCAGCTATTAACAATCCATCAGAAATGGAAACCTATAGAAGAGCTGGAAGATGTCAGAAAGCTTACGAAGTGACACGTTTCTGTTGCCTCAAAAAGGTACCCTATGAATCTAGTGGAATCACTTCTGCACAAACTTGACTACTGAAATCAGTGTGCGGAAATGCTTCTGCTACGTTTTTAGGGTCTCCCTACATTTTTTGGACTCTGGATGAGGCGTTTCATGTTGCCTTAGAAGTTGGCATATAACATCCACACAGTCCAAAAATCTGTCTCAAATATTAATTTTCAGTAGGCATTTGATGGCAAATGTTGAATATTCAGACGGTAATTACAGATGGAAAAAGCCTTCACACTTTTTGTAGAATTGTTGGGTTTTTGAAATACATCAAATTTTTAATTTTATATGTTTTTAATAAAATGTTTTAATTTTTTTACAACATTCCATGTAAATTCCAGAAATGGAAAGTACTGAAAAGCCCTTCTAAATTAGGATTCCTGGTCTGCTCCCTCTCTACACTATATTTCAATACTGTATACATGTTGTATACAGACCAAATAGTCATCATGGCCAGAGGATGTTTTTGCATGGCAACTTACCTGGTCAAAATATACTTGCATTTATTTTCAATGTTAGATGTGATGATCATTTAAGTCTAAACTAACGTTCTGCTGCTAATGCTAAAGCTTAAACATGTACTCAGCTTAACCCACTGAGGAGTCTAATAGATTTTTATTTTTTTAAGGGGTATTTGAGGCTGCAGGATTAGAATATAAGAATTAAGCATGGCTAAAAGGAAATTGGAAATTAGATAATTTTTGTTGTATTTAAATATTGTTCCTGTTATAAATTTATAAAAATTTAACTAGAATTAGGAAACTTGCATTATCCAAAACTAACTACATAATGTTAATTTCTTCTTGTGCAAGGCAGTTCATGTGCAAGCTTGAATGTACTGCGCAGTTAACAATATTTTTAAACATTTCTAGATACATGCTGTTAGGGACATGTGCTTTAACAAAGAGAAAATAGCAAATCAAAATTAGGAATGACTCTATGAAGAGACAGTCCCTCTTTAAGCATCTGTGTGTTTTTCGATGGGTTGGCCAGAAAAAGGATATAATGAGCAGACCCCCAGTTCATTAATGAGGCAATACATGCATCCAGTGGTAGAATGGTCCTTTTATGGATATTTTCTGTATGTGTCCCCTTCCAAGCAGTTTCACAATATAGTATAGTTATTTTTACAATTGATGTTCAGAATGCGTATTACTTTCTGAGAGGAAGAAGGCAAAAGTGAAACAACTGCTAATTGGGAAAAGTTCCCCTCGATGAGTAATAGTGAAATGTTTTAGGTTATTCTGCTGCAGCAAAGACAAAACTCAAGTTAGTAAAGCCATCTCCTGATTTTTAAGGTTGCTTGGCTTCAGAAGCTTTGTTTTCTTCAGATTTATTGATGCTAAGGGAAAAAGTTAAAATGTTATTCTATCTCATACTTGTGTGCAGATGCAGCGTAAATATTTGTCAAGGATGACTCAGCAGCATTTATGTTTAAGACTGAGAGTAACTACAAGACTTCAGAATACATTCTTAGCTTTCCTTTGAAGGAATGACATTAAATGATGGGATAGCATATAACCACAAAAATCTGGTGCTCTGAGGAATACAAGTTTTAAGTAACTTAATAGAAATACTTAAATTTTTTTCTGTAAGTTATTCTGTATTTCCACATTTTTACTGGACTGTATCAAAAACTGCTATGCTCAGAGTTGATGCATTAATTAGTTTGTTAAGCAAATCACCCGTATCTGTCAACATTAAAGAAGTGTAAATAATTTTTATGTAATTTTTGTACTTAGCTACTGGTATGTAGTGTCTTCCAGTAGCACATTAAGCAGTGTGACTGCCAACAGTCACAGGTTGTTGCTTCTCTCATCCTGTCCTGAAGCATAATAGCTAAGGTAATAGAATGTTTTTCTTTGTTAGCTGACCTTCTTTTCTTTTTAATACAGATTTGTAGGGCAGGTATTCACATAATGTGAGAAATTAAAATACTGCACTTCAAAAAGATTGTGAGTACTGTTCAAGTTCTTCGGACAATTTTGTGTGTTCTCAAACTGTCACTAAAAACATTCTGCCTCCTGCACGGATAAGTGTTGTTTTTTGTTTTTTTTTTTCTTGTAAGTAGACCACACCAAGAGCAATGACTGTATCTCCCCCCACAGCTACTCAACATAAATCTGTATAAAGCAATATACAAATAATTTCCTTGTTCTACAAACATCAGAGTTAAGGCAGTAAAGATTTAATTGGCTGAATTTTATGAGCTTTTATGAGAACAATAGACTTCCATGTCCTATGTTGTGCAAACCCATGACTTTTTATTCCATGGACAATTTAGAGGCTGTAAAAATAATTTACCAACTTTCTTCCTTCTCTCCATTCTGTTCTCTCCATTTTGTCTCCTACTCCATTCTGTTCTTGGTTTTGGTTTGGTTTTTTTAAACAATCGCTATCTTTGCTCACCCTGTCTAGTACTTTTCCATGGAACTATATCACTTTGAACTTTCAAATTAATTACTAAGTTCAATTAAAATGCTCACTGGCTTGTTAGATTTTCAAATATAGATTAGAAACCATTAGAAATGTTTTTAATGGTTCTAATCACCATTAGAAATGCATAATTAGAATCTACGGTCATGCTTTTCTAACTGCAGGTCTGTGATAAGTAGTATTTTGGTAAATAGTTTTCTTGAAGAATAGAAGGTTGCTTTCTGCAGTATACATGCAGTTATTAAATACTAATTTTTTTTATTACAATAGTACTTAAAGGCCTTGACCACAATGATCTCTGGTTATCCAAAAGCTGTGCTGAGTTTTTCATCTGGTTTTCTTTGCATATGATAGCCCCCGTGTCAGCATTTCTTTGTCTGATGTCCCTACACCCCTGCATTTGTCTACCGCAGGATGCTAGTAGTACAGTACTATACTATCTAGTTACTTCATTGGCACGTGTGGTTTCTGTAGAAAATAGTAACTTACAGAGGGGCCTGGTGCAATCATTAAAGGAAACTGTTCATCCTGCAGTTGTCGTCTGCCTCGCCCAGTGCAGAGGGTTGTTGGCCCTAGGATGAGCTGTGGAAAACAAACGAGTAATGGGAATGATTCACTGGATCTGGCCAGTACTTGGTGTTGGGCATTTCCCAGAAAAGCCTTCAGGTTACACAAACGTGGCCACACTCGTTGAACAGTCTTTCCCCAGCCTTTGCTGACCAGCCCATCCGTGCCCCCCGGGAGCACACACGGTAACAGGGTCACCTGAAGTGTAACTGAAACGGAAACAAAGCCGTCGTGAGGAAGTGGCCCCGGGGCACTGCGGTTGGACTGAGTAACTATTGACCTTCAGGCGCTGATGTGAAGGGAGAGTGGGGCAGGGTGTCTGCTGCCAGCTCTCTCCCCTCATAAACTGGCCGAGCAACACCCGGGCAAAGGGCTGCTCTCCTGCGGGGCCTCACCCCGATCAGAGCTCACACACCCTTACACCCCCTTCACCGAGCCTGTTCCAGCCCTGTTCATGCTGTACCTTGGCCTGATGGCCAAAGGATTTGGGTTTAATTAGCTTTTCCTCTCATATAACTTTGTCAGGTGCATGTTCTGGCCAGAGCCGTTAAGGGAGGACATAGCGTCCCTCTGCAGGGCTCACGAGGAGCGAGCCGTCCCTCTGAGGGCCCCTCGCACAGCACGGGGAGGGGGCCCCCTGACACATTAAGCCACAATGAGTGAAAGCCGCCCGCAGCCCTTACCCATCGCTCCCGTTACCCGCCACCGCCCGTGTCCGTGAGGGAACCGCGGGGCCTCCCTGCGTTCCCGCCGTCTCCCTCCACGGCCTCCCATTGGAGGGGGCGCCGGGCCGCCCGCGGGGGAGGGGGGCTTTTCTTAGCGCCTGACCTCCATTTTCCCCCCGGCCGCGGCCGAGGAGCGCGGTAGAGGCCGCTCCCTCACGTCCCGGGAGCCCAGGAGGGTGAGTCCCGGGCATCGCTGTGCATCGCCTGCGGGGACCGCCTGAAGCCTCTGAGCCCTCAGCAGCGCGGATGACTGCAGCGGGGAGAAGGTCTCTCTCTTACCAAAAAAAAAAAAAAAAAGGTACAAAGCAAAGCTCCCGCTCTGGGCTCTGTGAGAAGGTCCTGTTTCAAAGTGTGCGGTTAGGGGAGGTGAGCTCCTGCGGTGGTGTGCTGGCTGGGTATGGAACAGTGTGCAAGGTAAAAGATTTGGCTCTGTGCAAATGAGGGAGCTGTGAGAAGCCTGTAACTCAGCGTGAGGGGATGCAGGGTGGTAATGGGCGTGGGGGGGGGCAAGTCAGCCCCAGGAATAATCCGTCTGCGCTTCAGGATAGAGGTCACGTACTGGCTGGTGCTCCTAGTCTAGATAATTAATTTTTAAAAACCCTCATGTATTTGCAATGGGAGTACGCACAAAAAATTTGGTTTGGTTTTGGTTTTCTCTTCATTTAAGGCTTCCAGGGTTTGGCCCAATGCGCCACGCAGGTGCTGAGGGCTGTGGTGCTGTGTGTCCCCTCCTTCACAGCAGCCTCTGCTCCTTGGGCTGCCTGGCTACGCTCTCCGGGACGTGTCACTCAGGTGTCCTGGCTTGTGCGTTGCGGCTTTTGGCACCCAATGAACCGGCTGGGTTGGGTAGCAGCGAGTGACAGCAAGGGCCAGCCTTGGGCCGCATGTGGTGCTGGGCTCCTGCTGCAGCTGTGCCTTGATGCTGGGCTTGCGGGTGTGCGCCTGGGCTTGCGGGTGTGCACCTGCCCTGGGATGATGCTGTTTCTGCGGCTCTTGGACAAAAATTAACATTCCCTAAAAAGTGTTCTGTATAAATAATTAAGACGTCATGATACAATAAAGATAAAGCTAGTCATCTTTGAGACCTTGTTTCCATAAGGTTTAGAAAGTTCTTGTGTGTGTCTGTTAAGGCTTGGACAAATGTGCTTCTAGTTTTACCAGATGCTAAGTAGTAGAAAATTCAGTCTCTTCACCTTGAAACATTTGATCTGGACTATACTAGACTCTGAC